GAGTAATTATTAATTCAGTTGACAAGCCTCGGAGTAATACAACCTCCGTGTTCCATTAGTGCTTTATATACTGCAACATAATTACTGAGCGGTACTTGTAGTAGTACTTCATATGCCACATTGGGGCTCCAGACATGGACTCTTTCCTTTGCTTCATCCTTCTTCACTTGCTCTGCAGTTTTGTATTTAGAAAAAGCTTTATTTTATTAAGTATTTTTCTTATTTACTTACAATATTCTAAAGAAATTATTGAAATCTTTGCTGGGTTAGTACTATATTAAGAAAATGGGCTCAATGGAAAATAAAAATATCGTAAACACTTTGACAACAAGTCTCCGTCTTTCCGAAACCAATAGGTTCAGAGTTGACGACAGTTTTAATCTAATAGAATCAACTAATTCAAGCTTCCGTGATAAAATGTCAAGGTCGTTGTGACCTTGTTGGGTAAAAGACAAAAAAAAAAAAAAAATCCTCTGTCTGTTCAGACTCGACTGGTTGGCAGAGGATCACAACCACAGGGCAGCACCCGTGTGCGTCTCCACGGACGCGACAGTAAATGTCTCAAGTAATCTATGACCTATCTGAGTCGTCATAATGTTACCTTGCTGAAAGTTTATCCTCAGGTCAGCCTCACTGACAAAGTGCTCCCTTGACATACGCACCACCCTGGGGAGGTCAAAAATCGTCACAGTGCATTCTGGGTAGACCGACGTGCACTGTTTGGCTAATGCCCCGCTGCAGCCTGCAGAAGTGGAAGAGAGAATGAGCAGTTATTTACAGTACAGTGAAACTACAGGATCTTCACCAACAGGGGGTTTGTTGACCCCCCCCCCTCCCCCCTCTCCCACACACACACAAACAGTGGTCTGCACAGAACAATAGTTTATCTGGAAAGTTGGATCAAGACTGTGTTTATTTCTATCAAAGCTTCATTCATCCTCATTGATGTTCATTTGCAGCAGAGCTTTGGTTTTTAAGGTCATTCTCATGGGGGAGAGGGGGGTGAGTGGTTACAGTCCAATAATTGCACACACGCACACACCCAGTTCAAGTGTAACACATGGACTCAGGTATGTACATATATTATATTTGCATGATTCATATTCAGCTCCGTGTTTGGAATACACGTCTGCTTTGGGAATACGGCTCATCCACATTCATATGAATGAGTCAGATGAAAATGAAGTGAATGTGGAGTGACAGAGAGATAAGGCTTTATTTAGAAACCGCAGAGCTGCTGCTGCTGCTGTCTAGGAATCCTATTAGGGAGTTTAATCTAAGGGGGGGAAAAAAAATAAACATTCTGATTCGATTATCTGTTTAACCTGATTTACATGCACTTGCATGTAAATAGTGAGACTGACCCTTTAATGCAATTAAATGCCCTTGGTTAACACCTTGATGTCAAAGGTAAATACACTTCAACTTGCTTGTCTTAATTGTAGTTTCCACTAATCATCATTCATTTTGACTGCTGTGACTGTCATCACTAAACATGGTGTTGACAGTGCCACCAATGGATCTGGACTACAAATTAAATTTTTAATTTATGCCATTTTTTTTTTCATTTAACAATAGGGAATAGTGGTTAAATTATTAGGAGTAGTTTGACTGGGAAACTAAATTACTAAATGGTGTCATTGACTTATTAGTCAACATCTATAAAACTAAATATGTTTTCCAAATCAATTTGTCTGAGAACTTTGACTTTCCCCCTCATGATGTATCCAGGAGCACTGCCAAGAACTCTGACCCCTGAATGCATCCATGAAAACACTTCAGTAACTGTTTACTGTAGTATTTTTCTCAACAACAACAACAACAACAACAGTGACAGAATGACAGGTCTCAACAAACTTGATCCCCAACTCCCTGGGATCAAGTACAATCACGAGTGTAAGTGAACGCGGCCTCTGACTGGCTGCAGTTTCCTGACTTGGACCAAAGTCAGTCAGTTGGCAGAGAGTCGGACACACACGGAGACGGAGCACCTGCACAGCAGGCGAGTACAGATACAACAGATGCTGTGAGAGACACGGCAGTCTTTAAACAGGACACTGCAGTCGTGGCCTTCGGCCTCCTGCTGTCCACTCACACTCACTGTGCTGATGATGCCTTCGATGCATAAACATGTGCTGTGGTGAAGACCACGCTGGGAAAGTTGCACCGAGAAGAAAAAAATGACAGGAGGACCTTCATAGTTGTTTAGCACTTGTCGGTCCTCCGCCATGTACGTGTGCTTTTAGTGGCTTCACAGCGCCCCTGTGTGGTCGACAGACGTGTCACACAGATCTGTGATGGCTGATTTTTGATAGTGGGGATTGATTTGGGGGGTTTTCAATAATGGAAGAGACGATTACAGATTTTTGTTTTTGCCATGCTCGCCTTTGCGATTAATGTAAATAATTCGAAATATGTCACACGTTTTTGAATGGTCATATTTACTCATCTTCACAGTAACCAGGCAAAGGCAACAATAGAACAGGGACAGTTCTCTGGTCATTTATAGGACAGATCAGAGACAACCATTCACACTCACACCTATAGTCAATTTGATTTGATGGAATAGTCAACCTAACCTACACATTGAGCAAATTGATAAGGTCAAATCTGCATTTGTTTTTTACTGTACAGTAAACCACTCTTCCACTAGGTGGCTCTAAAAAATTATCAATTATCATTGAGCATAGTCTTCAGAATTTAACAAGTTTTCCTCGTGTTTTTCTACATTTGGAACCAGTGAACACAACTTACAACATTAAGTCTTACTTTAAGTTCTAAACACTAAAGAAAAAGGTCAGAACTTTCTCTACCTTTGTTTGAATCACTTGGTTTAAACAAAAAACAAATCTAGCCCTTTAATTCTTCTTTTGATCCTGTTCTATTCTAAGATTATCTGCAATTTAGAATGTATTTTGCCCAATGTTGTTAATGCTGAAATGACATTGTTTTGTCATGTTTTTCCTCCTTCAGAGTACCTAGTATAGAGTGTTTAGTGAAGATGTTCAAAGACGTCTTACAAGTAAATAGTAGACTAAAAGCGAAACACAAGAGTAGGATGAAAGGTACATTTGGTTTTCAGACTAACAAAGACTCCAGCACTGCATTAAATCTAATGGAAGCTTTTATTTAAATGTTGCTTTTCCTCACATTGACATTGTTCGAGACTCAGTGCTGTCCTTTTCTTTTATCTGCTCTCATGGTTGTTTTCAAAGAGTCAAGAAAATTGAAAAAGCACAAAACTCAAATAAAAGTGTAAATCCACTTCACTAGACTTCAAGTTACTCCAGGGTGGTCTGTGCTTCTGTCTTGTCAGTGGTTCAACATCTCTCCACAGAACATGAATTAATTTATTCCAATGCCATCTGCTTTTTTTATTTTAAAGATTTTGACCATTTTCACAATCACCCGTTCACAACCATTCCCATTAAGTCTGTTAATTTCTTCAATTTTCATTTTGATATTCTTCTTTTGAACCAGTACAAATCCCACAGTACAACAGAATATAAAGGAATATTCCTAATTTTGTCAGAACTTGACAAAGAAGGAAACCTCATGCTTTGTACCTAAAATTAATGAAAATTTATTTAAATTGAAAAAAAAATCAATATGCAATTGTGGTTTAGTGACAGCAAGCATCGACCTTTAACAGTGGAGTTTGTTCAGTTGGAGGAAACTAAGTAAATGTGTCTATTGTCTATGGTGTGACACAGGTGAAGGTGACTTTGAGGTGTGCGTTTCCAGGCCTCCCTGATTCATTAGGAGTCATTACTTCACAAAAGCCAGGGGCATTGTTATAAAGGTCACAATTGCCTTCTGTACAATGTGTATTGCACGGTGTTGTGTGTGTGTGTGGGGGGGGGGGGCTTGGCTGTCACTCAAATAACGCAACACCAACATTTAAATGTTAATGACTGTAAACTCAACCTTATGGTAATTATATACGATGTTATAAAACACACACACACACACACACACACACACACACAGACTTACCTCCCAGGTCACAGATGACCTTGAAAGGGGAAAGGTCAAAGGCTTTGACCACATCTTTACCACAGATGTTCCAAATGGAGTTCATCAACTGCATAAATTTCACCATTTCCTCATCACACCTAGAGTGAAAATATAAACAGGAAAAAAAGGCTCTTGAGAATTTATTATTATTTAGTGTTAAGTGGAAATAGCCTCCCTACACTGTAGGAGGCGGTATAAACACAGTGGGAACATCTGCATCTCAGTCAAAGTGTCTTTTACATAATAATGTTTCATATAAATTGAATCACAGTCTGTTCAAACTATCTCACAAAAAACTGCAAGTTTCCACTGGACATAAATGCACCTCAGAAAAGGTTGTGGTAATGACACTGTTGACCAGTGTAAGAGAGGGTTAGGGACTAACAATAAAATAAAACCATGCTCAAACAATCAAACACTCAAATCAAACACTTAAAAAAAGCCATTTGTTTTAGCATTCCTCATCAATATGCAACATTTGTCCAAGTACATAATAATCTCTACTGATACACCCTTTGCTGATTCCCCCCGTAATCTGTTTCACATTTTGACAGGAATTTAAGGTGCAGATGGGACTGGGCTGTAAATGATTAATATGCTGTATATGGCTAGTTAAATGACGATGAGTAAACAGGAGTCTGACTCATCCATCCAGTGTCGCCTCATTCCGCTGCAGCTACAGCGCACAGCAAATTCAATGAATAAATGTTTTCAGCACTGGTTATTGTTTCTTGCTAATTCGCAGACGGTAATCCCAGAGGAAATCAGCAGAGACAAACAAGTGCTTCTCCACATTACATCAGCCAAGCACAGGTGTTGACATTTTGCTTGGAGAATATTCTGTGCATTACGTTGTCCTCAAATATATATATATATATA